GTGTTTGGGCTTGATTAATTTGTATTGATTAGAACTTTGCACCTATGTAGATTATAAGTAACAAAACGGGTATATGTAGCTTTACACTGAAAATGATAAAATAATAAAATAAAAACTGCGTTTAAAAAACCGACTTCAAAAAAACCAAAAACTAATAACAAACAAAAAGTCAAAACTAAAAAGCAAAAAATAACTATGATTAGTACTGATAGATTACCCACCCACTGATAGGTTAGAAGTCGGTGCCATAAGATCATATCATAATGATATAACTTAATGTCCACATAAATGTGAATTAGGTACCTATTAAGGTTTTAATGAATAATTTTGTATGGAACTTATGGCACCGACTTCTTACCTATCAGTGGGTGGGTAATCTATCAGTACTAATCATAGTTATTTTTTGCTTTTTAGTTTTGACTTTTTGTTTGTTATTAGTTTTTGGCTTTTTTGAAGTCGGTTTTTTAAACGCAGTTTTTATTTTATTATCTCCTAGTGCCGTCCAGATTAGTGCCAAAACCGTAACGACAGTAATGCCCTCACAATGTCAGTTTGCTTACTACACAAATGACAATAAATAACGCACCAAGTAAAGAGGTGAATTTGGAGTATTCTTTCATCAGTTAAGGTTTGACAAAAAATGCATAAGTGACGGTATTGTACCGTAGTAGGTGCGATATATCGACGAAAGCCTAAACCATGCTTTGCAGCGATTTTACCTCTAAATAAAATTCGTGAACTTGATGTTTAAAAGAGATTTTATTAGGAGCTTTTTTGATATTGAGGGGGAGCGCGTTCCATAGTTTGATGACAGTTATTGTAAAGAAATTAGAATTAAAAGAGGTGCGGTGGGAAGGTATTGTTAATTTTTTTATTACAACTTTGCCCCACACTAGGATTTTCTTCCATGTCGTGTGTACACATACACATGAACAACAATCTGTGGATCACACAAAGAGTTGTTACGTGAGGGAATCGAACCCGTGACACGTTTCGTGGCAGCCAGTTGCCCAGCCACCGCGCCAACCGTGCAGTCAAATTGTGTTTTAATCAAAATCTACAACCTAGAATTTCTTTATCAGATAAGCATAGTAATAATTATCAACACGTTTATTAAATTTGAAAATAGTTAAATTGTGAGATAAAATAAAAATCCTACCTACTAGATAAAGATATAAAAATACAAGGCCGTTTTCGATTATGAATTTCGACAATACTCCCAAAGACCACCTGATATTTTTTCCGACTTCACTAAAGATACCACATCTAGCCATCTACATCAGCGCTCATCTGTACCATTCGCAGCTAGAAATGTGTTAGTATTGTTCATAAAACAGCCGAGTACCTGTGGAAGTAGTCATGAATACATCAACACCTAATTTCGGCGGAGTTACAAAGGAACTTTATCCTAATGAAAATGACTTAGGCAGGGTTATGACCCTTAGTACTTATTTGGTTCTAGGTAACTGTATTAGAAAAAGTTTTAGTATATAAGTACGGTACGTTATGGCACGTAATTATATGTTAAGTGATGATACCTACTATTTTGAAATATTATTTTTTGAAAGAACGATTGAATGTTTAATTAATGTATTTGTTATTAAATGATGTTGTGTCTTCTTCAACAGCCTATAAATGCCCACTACTGAGCAAAGCTCTCACACAGAGAAGGTTTGAGCATTAATCACCACGCTTTCTCAATGCGGGTTGTCGATTTCAAACTTATAATTAGAAATTATAAGCCCAGGTTTCCTCACGATGTTTTCCTTCGTCGCTTGTCAATGGTATCTAGATAATCTTAGATCTTGCCGTTGGTAGGTTTCGAACCCGCACCCTCGTGCATGAGAAGTGGGCGTTTAAATCTCCGGCCACCACGATGATGCGTCGGATGATTATAATTTTGAAGTCTTATAATTAGGGTGCTTACTCTTGAAACCAATCTCAGTGTCAATGCAATTTCTATCCAATAAAATCTCAATAATTACTCAATGTCGAAACAATACAAACCCTACCGTTGCTGTTAAAATAGCATCCAGAGTACCTACGGATTATAAAGCCAAACTCAATACCATTTAGTTCATTAAATATCTACGCAACATAGATGCAATGGGCGCTAGTATTGCAACTCAAGAGTACGAAATTTCACAAGCCAATGTCGATCGATCGGTATTGGATTCAAGAGTAAGCCCCCAGATATGATAAAATAATAGATTCTTAAACTGTTATGTAGACTTTTTTAGAGCTTATTGACACACGACGAAATATCTCCTGTCCTAATACTAACAATTGTAAACAAACTCAAACTTTTCATTGTAACAAGCCAAAATGAGGCAGTGCTATTTCTATAATTATTAAGTAAAATTCTTAACACAAGCGACAAAATTCATTTTTTTTAAGGTGGGAAAATCATTGAATGTCTGCTCCCGCCTGGGTGAGGCGGGAGAGAGTGTCAGACTCTTACTGACTAGAAACCACCCCGTTCCTTCTCCTGCACGTCGAGCCGGAGCCCCGGTAACCCGTTAGGTTCTCCGAGACGACAAAATTCAATAGGTTCGGAATACTCATCCATCGAAGCAAAATCATTATAATTGAGACCACTACTTCACTTAATAGGCTTAACAGACTGCTTCGTTGGCTGAGTGGTCGCAAATGTGACTGGGTAAGGATCTCGAGTTCGCTTCCCGGGTCGGGCAAAGTTTACTGGGTTTTTTTTAAATATTTGTCAGTACTGAGTCTGTAATTGTGCCCGGTATATGGGCAATAGGGTCACACCCTATTACATGGGATTCAACATAAATAGTGAAAAGTGGGTGTAAGTGGTATTAAGTAGCGCGGAGCTTGCCCTTCGAGGATAAAAGGCGTGATGATATTTATTTTATTTATTATTTTACTTAACTTTAATATGGTTTATTCTATGTCTTTATAATAACTATCGTGAGACATACTAAATTAACTCAAAAAAAATGTAGGCTGTAGGCTGCGCGACATCGCCGCGACCACGCACAATGCTCATGAGGAAGAACCCCTCTGTGGTTCGAAACTAGTAGAGTTTTTCTCAGTATATTCACATCAGTAACCTGCGATTTTTAGTTAATTTGGTTTATTCTACTTCAATAACATTCTCAACTTACCCAAAGCAAATAAACTTCCGGCAACAGTACTAAACGCTCCTTGCTGTACCCTCCTTATATCTCCAGAAGATATGACCAGCCCGTGCAACCCAACTCCAGCCAGTTCTGACACTGAAGATGAGGACAGTACTGATACTCCTCGGAGTGCACAGTCCAGAAGTGATACTGCTGTGTTCTTGTTTCTAGCTTTTTGTTCCCGGAGGTGACGGCCTATGATCTGGAAGAGAGGTGACATTTTAGATGATTGGTTGCAAAATTGACTTTGATAACAGGGGGATAAAGTTGGTTTTGACAAAATCTTTATTATTTCACACATCACAACAGTGATGTGTGAAATAATAAAGATTTTGTTGATAATGTTTGATGGTGTGGTTTGTTGTCTAGAATTTTTTAGCATGTAGCATATTGTTTACAATTTTATCCTATCATCATCAACAACAGCTGGAAGACGTCCACTGCAGGTGGCGAGTGGTCGTTCGACATGGAGAACTAAGTGGGAGGTCTTTGTCCAGCAGTAGACTCCAGTAGAGAGGACTCTTGTATTGTAAAAACAAACAAGTGTTGAAAAGTTGTTAACTGTACAAAGTGTACAATTTTTTTTTTTATTCATCGTATTGCACTATCTAATATTTCATCAAAAAGCCAAGAATAATACCTGAACTAACGAATGAACCTTATTCTTTAGGCCACACAGTTTATTAAATACTCACCAAAAATATACCGAATAATTAAAAAATAACTTCTACAGCACACAAAATACAGAATGAAATTCAAGAGATTCGTCAAATTAAGATAAACGAAGAAAAACAAACGAATGTCGGAACAAAATCCGAAAAGACTACAATGGAATATTATCAAATCCAAGTCGTTTCAACAAAGATAATTCCCTAGTAAGAATTATTTAAAACGTATTCCTTGCCTAAGTAATCCATACTAATATACTATACATGCAAATTTGTGTGTGTCTGTTTATTTGTTCGACTTTCACGGCAAAACGGAGGGACGTACAAATGTGATATTTTAATATTTTAAGTGGAGGTCATAATTGATGCGATGGAGCGTGCCATAGACTACTTTTTGTCTCTTTCGTTAGAAAAGTGAAGCTTGACCCTACTTCTCTAGAAGTTGGAAGTTCGTATGGAACATTCCACGATTTTCAAGGCACGAAAGTTAAGAATTTGTATGCGACCCATTTGTTACTAACAAAATAATTGAGCATTTCTTTTTTTTTTCTTATATATCTGTCTGTAACCCTTTGAGGCCTTAACGGGTTGCCGGGGCTCCGGTTCGAAGTGCAAGAGTAGGAACGGGGTGGTTTTTAGTCAATAAGAGTCTGACACTCCATCTCGCTACACCCGGGCGGAAGAAGTCATTGGATGATTTTTCTCCCTAAAAAAAATAACCTTAAAAAAGTGCAAGTGAAAACGCGGGTGGAAAGCTGGTAATATTGTAAAATCCGCAACGTTTTAATTAAACACTAGTTGAATAGAAAATGAATGGAGCCATTCGTTAACGATCGAATTAATTAAGGGAAAAATATTTATCTAATTTTGTTCGGGATGCTGAATACAGTTTGGTTCATTTTCGATGTTTGAATGGTGAAAGTGAAATAAAATTAAAAAAGAGATTATATCAATTTTAGTGTAAGTTTATGGTATCAAATTGACGTGCAATTGAAAATACCTATGTTCAGCGGAAGACGAAAAAGACTTGATAATTATATATTTCTCGTATATTCTCTTTTGTGCCGTGGGTGTGTTTACCACATACAAGTTCACATACACATCACACCCAGATGCGAAACAAAAAATTTGAGGTGAGTTAATCCGTGGGGGAATCGAACCCACTACACATTGGACGGCAGTCGGTTGCCCGGCCACCGCACCAACCGTGCAGGCGGACGATTAAAAATAAGTACATTTAATTTAAAAGAAAAATTGTACTTGGTAGGCACTAAAACGTAACACTATACGATTTGATTAACAAAACATGCTACTAAAACTAAGTATAAGTAGAACAACTACCACATATATAAGCAAAAACCAATTATAATCTAATTCATCAACGTAACACACAAAGAGCTTAACATCACAATCAATTTTGAGCGCTATTTAATAATATAAATAGTGAAGAATTTCTACTGAAACTATTATGTGAGGCGTATTGAGTCAAGTCGGTGTGGTACTTGGCAGGGATTACTGAAAGCCGCTTTCGAGACGAGAGGGAGCGCCGAGCTATTGTCGTACATCGTGTGAAGCAAATCTGTCATACGTACTTGCATGGCTTCTATGATAGATGGAAAATATGTCATAGTCATATCATTGTCATGTTCACAATTGAGTGAAAGAGCTTCGAAGATTTGAGTGGGACGATTTTTTAATAATCTCATTTTTGGCAACCCTGTGTGTGTGGGGGATTGATTCTGAAATTCGAAAAATTATTTCGAACCTTCTTTTAAATCAAGTTTTCTATTTACTGAGGATTTTACGACTATAGCTTAATGACAGTTTTCCTTATCATCATCATTATCTTAACTTTATCCCGGTTGCTTCCTTTTGGGGCTAAAAACATACTTTCTTGCTTTGTAACACATGGAGTTTCTTGCTTGTTCTTCTCCATAGGAATCTACACCTTGAAATGAGCTAATAGCTTCACTTAAAAAAAAATATTGACGTTCAAAAGTGCCTCTCTGGTCTAATTGAAATAAATGATTTGGACTTGAACTTGCATGTGGCATTATGTCCACCTTTGCACCATGATCGTGCAATAATTTTAAATAAATAAATAAAATAAAACTTGCTGACAAACACCAATCAATTGGCTGTTGTGTGTTGGCCTTTGAAGCTGTGCACCAAGTCTATTGGCCAAAAGATCAGTCTCTATAAATGTTTCATATCTTCTAGTTTAAATTGTCAACAAACACCTTTGAAGCTGTATACCAATATTGGGCTGAATAGCCCCAAACAATATTGGTGATCACAATATGTCTCTAAATATCCAATAGGCCAAAAGCTTGGCCAGTCGCATTATGGCGATCGTATTTGTACAGAGCCGATAGACGTTGAATCTGAAACAATACCTTTCAGTATCCCTTACTATGGGTGTTTTAGATGGTGTGATATTCTTTTGCTTTTGCGAAAAATATTGTCATATTTAATTGGATCTTGTATCTTTCTTATATTCTTCTAAACGTTATGAGAATCGGTTGAATTGCTGAATTAACTTAATGTTTTTTCTGACAAATGTAACATAGATGCAAGTTTCAGAAAAGTTAAGTCAAATTCAGAGGTGTCATATTCTCTGGTTTAAAATCCGATGCAACAGTTGAAACTGTGTTTCCATACGTAAATATTTGCACTAGAACATTTTCTGAACAATAAGCTAGTTTAATGAAATTGATTGTAGTATTCGAACTGTCATATCTTGGTCCATCAACCTGGACAATTCATCTCCTAAATTCGAGTACAACTAGTAAGTCACTAACACTATCCACAATTCACTTGTAGAGAGGCGTTCAGTAAACAAAAGCTATCGATTGGCAGGTGCGTGAATCGGTGGGACTTTGATAAGGGTCCATGATCGCCCTTCGAGCTCTTCACGTCAATAAACGTCTCAAACCGGGGCTAAGTGCCCCTGACCGATTATGAAGAAATAAGGGCGTTATATGAAGGAAATCTTGGGTACCCACCTATGTTTGATTGCTTCTTTCGATGAGTATTTCCTTTCGGTATAATATTTTGACCTTAATATTCTGGTGGCAAGTATTTTAAACTAATCGAGGGTGCCAGACATATTTTGTATAACCTTCTGTCATCCTCGGCATAGATTTCGTCCTAACCGAGATCTATCCAAAATCGACCAAAAAGTTTTACAAGTATCAAGCAACAAATGCAACAAAACTTTTGGACCGTCTGATGATAAGCGGTCACCATGGCAGAGGCCTTAGAACACTTGCAATACCAGAGGCATTACCAGTGCATTACCGATCCATGCATAAAAAGCCACGAATTCACATGTCATAAGTCCCATGTATACTCAAATAACTACACTAAACATGCCTACATGCCTATTAAAACATAAAAACCGAAAACGAAAAAACGAAACAACGAAACACAACCAATACAAGTCTATTCCAAAATACTATATTACCTAACAATTTTTCTACAACAAAATACACATATACCTGACCGTTCTAAGCTGTAAAAGAAAAAAAAATACAAAGCCAAACAATACCCCAAGATTCATTGAACCAGTATTTAAACACTTCAATATAAGGTTCAGACGATTCGCTGAAATTCTAACAAATGCCTGAAGGGACTTTAAACAACCATGTGTGGAGGACAGTTATCATTTTCTGTTTAACTTCATTCCATTGGAGGTTTTATATAAAAATAAAAAATTGGAACATGAATAGTATTCCCAGAAGGTAAGGTTCATTTTTAAATGTAACTTTCAGTTATGTAAGTTGTCTTGTGGCACTGGTAAGAGTTGCAATGGGACCTACGGTATTATTTTTTTCTCACTAGATAGTGCTATTTGTAAACCTCTCGTTCTTAATCTAATAGGAAATTAACCAGTGTCACTGGACATTGGACAATCAATATTTGACAGCTGCTATGATTGGACATAAATACCTCTTCTGAATGAGCAAAAATATGGTAGGCCTCATTCCTTAAACTGGAAAAAATGACATCATCGTTGACAGTTCCTGACAATCTTCTGCTGGATTCCTCTACATAAGAGGATTTGCCACGCTTGGCATTAGCAGGCGGATTGTAGGTCGCAGTAGATTGTTTTATTAGAGAGCGCTGCTACCCTATCTCAGACACCCATGGCAAGAGTAAGGGTGGTGTAAAATGTATTGTACCTACTTTACCGTCATGCGTCATCATGTAGCTAAATACGTATAAACTGACAAGAACAACTATCAAAATGTGAACATCTTCTACTCACTCTCTTTCATAATAAAAGCGTAAACTTCCATAATGTAACGAGTGTTCAAATCGTATAAGAAACAAAACAACATCGGGTCAGTGACGTTCCTTTACGCCCCGTTTCCTTTATCCGTTCCTTTATACGCAATGTAGCTGCATTGATTTCAACTTCGTGCAACTGCTGTTATTGTTTTCTTTGACATGCTACTCTGAATTTTATTCGGTGTTGTATTGGGATTTTGGGTTGGGAAAATGTGATAATATAGCAGTTATATTACTAACCACATACAGTATTATACGTGGAGTGACTGTCAACTGCTGGATACAGGACACTTTCAACCTCTCCACCTACGCTAACAGTGGGCCTCTTGTGGCTGATAAAATGATAATGATGACGATGATGACTGCCAAGCTTCTAAAAGTGCTACGGTTAACAAAAATATACTTTAAGTACCTAAAAATAAAGTATACCTGTAAAGCAGTGTGGTCGCCGGCACATCGCAACGTGTGTGGGAGATCGCACGAGCACTCCGCCGCCGGTCGTGCAGAGAGACCCGGGCACCTCCACTGTGCGTCCACGGCGTGCAGCAACGTGCACAGCACGCACACCGCGCCCATTAGCCACATCCTGAAAACGAAATTAAATAAGAATACTTTAGTACTTATAAATACCTAATTCATAATACACAATTAAAGTCTTGTTTGGAAAATAGAGGAAAGAAAATACTGGTATGGTCCTGTACACCATAATCTTTCTGATATAGCTGATCTATATAAATCGTCGAATTGGGTGAAATGTCCAAGTCTACTTAGAAGTTGGACAATTGTAGGATTTTTTGGTTAAGAAACCACTCGTGGTTTTGATTTTCATTCCCTGACACGAAAAAATATCTAGGATGGGGATGTCTTTAATTTCTCCCATTGAAAGAAAACAGTATATGTTTACCTTTTAAAAATATCCAGTGATTCAATTATTTACCTAATATGATTTAAAACACATTAAGTCTTGCTACTACACCAGAAAAATATGAGACCATAAATTCTTAAATTCAAAAACAAACTCGCAAAGAACATTTAGAATCAAATGGAAAATTTTCCACGAATCAAAACCAAAACAACGCCAATTGGGTCGTCATGATAAATTATTGTTTCCGTTCTTGTTATTACTGGAAATATGGAACTTATGTAGGTTAGTACATGAATCAAAAACTTCGAACATACCGCCACATTAACAATACGGGAGCAAGCTAAACAAAAAGTAACAATCGTATAAAATTCTGTAGTCCCCTATAAAATTGAGATACGACTAGAGATTGGGACAAGTGGCATCTTAAAAGGCAATTCCGGTCATAATCTGAGGTACTTGTAGAAGAATGGAGCTGGTGCAATGCGTGCTTGCGACATAATGGGACGTTTCCACTGAGTGACGACCGGATGAGGGGTGCAAGTAAAAATTTGTAAGCGATTTTCATGTTCTTGCCAGGCTGATAAGGCTGTGGTTGTGGTTGCTAATAGGAAAACTTCTTCTGGTTTAGATTCTTTATTAGAAACTTTGAATTGACAACCCTTCAGCAAGTTTTCAGCATTGCCTCAATTACAAGACAATTCTGAGAGTATTCAATCAAGAACATATAGATGTTAAAAGGTATGATGGGGTTGGCATATCAAAGATAAAAACCCTTAATAAAAAATAAAAAAACAGATAAAAACCAAACAAGAACATATAGATATTTCAAACAAATCAGTATTGCTGAATATTTTCAAATTAAAAGACTAAATAACTATTTCATTAACCCAACCAAAGTTCAAACAGCAACTTTTAGTGATTGGTAACAGTCCAAAAACGTCCTCGACATAAAAGTTCCTCCCATTGTGAGGTCATGTTTAAAGCAAACCGCTTTAAACTTATCCCTGGGACCAGAACTGGCTACGTTGGGAACAGGAGCGAGTTACATGACTATTGATAACAGTGGGTGACGGACGGCCATCGACCTCCCACTCCCGACGGTTACATCTTCCATACTTGTCTATATTTCACACCTATTCACGTGGAAAACTTAACTTTCAGCTCTCTGAATAATGCTTTGTTGGTCTAGTGGTGGCGAGTATGACTATCGAACAATATTTACTTCTGGTAATAGGCTCACCATGTATTATATGGAACACTTGGAAAATGTATGCACTTTCACTTAACTCTTCGGAAAATAAAAGGCCTATTGGCATAATTATTACATTATGTAAATGGAATATTAGTGGGAGCTATCAGACCGTGGTCTTCGGAGATGCCTGCAACATCAGAGGTTGTCTTTCAGTCGTTGTAAAAAATATTACCTTTTCAAAAAAGACTACTTAAACAACAAAGAGAGACACACAGATGTCTTTGTTTTTCTTTGTTCAATCTTATATCAAAAAGGTGATATGTATTTATTTACTCTTTATTTTTTGCAATAACTTTCTATTACAAAAATAATGTTCACATTTTATTCGACAGTACAATACGCATACATTGTACGTCGCTGTTCACACAAGCGGCCACAGCGCTCTTAAGGCCAGGACCACCTAACAACCAATTAACAGTGGTCTCTATACCACCCAAATTTCGCCACTTCTGTAAATTTACGAGGGGTCAACGTATTATGGTTGGTCTTCCACACGATATATCACTAAATGTTAGTGGTTTTGACAGGGGACGGGCAGAGTTTTGGGTGCAAACACTGTTTTACTGTGAACTGGTTATCATTTGCATTTTGATTTAGGTAGCCATTTTAAAATGTTTGGTTTTTCAAAGGTCACGTCGGTGGATTTTTAAGAGTTTATGTTTCGTTTCTTTGGTTTTTGTATTTTGTTTCATTGTCTCTTCTATAAGACTGGATAGAGTCATTATTATTACCTAAATTACCTTTATACTGTGACCGTATCAATTTTCTACGAAAGAAAAGCCTAATAGGCATGGCGACTATTTTTTAATTTTTTGTCCGTCTTTTAGATATTTTAAAAATCTTCGATACGTATTTTTTCTTTTTTCTCGTATCCAAAAAAGCATGTAGATATTTTGAGTTAAAATGACGCGTGACGTCACAATTAGGTACGATTTCTCCGTAAGTGTGACGTCAACACCCCCCACTCCCTAACTTTAATGCAGAATAACTAAGTATTCTTCTGTTAATTTGATAAAACAAAAAATACGTGTCTGATATTTTCGTGCGATCTTAATGACGGACTAATTACTTTTTTGATTTTTTTACCCTGTCGACACGCCTATTCTATCGCCCTCAATACCCGTAACTATAATATTATTCATATAGTACAAACTTCAAAATATAGTTTAAGTCGATTAAGCTTTTTTTATTTTTTTAAGGGGGGAAAATCATCGAATGACTGCTCCCGCCTGGGTGAGGCGGGAGGGAGTGTCAGACTCTTACTGACTTAAAACCACCCTGTTCCTTCTCCTACACGTCGAGCCGGAGCCCCGATTACCCGTTAGGTTCTCCGCGACAAGTCGATTAAGCTTAAAGAGGCACCAAACAAACAAAATACTATCGTACTGAAAATATAAGTTAAGCACAAAAAAGTAATTTAGAAAATAATTTCCGGACCGATATAAGGAAGTCGTCAAATCACTCGATTAACGTCGATTTCAAACCGTACCAAGCGAATAAAAAGAAACAACCAATACATAAGTAAATACAATAACAGTTTACAAACGTTTATTTTGTACTGAAACAATACTATTCACGCGATACCAGTAGTGTCGGGGTCCCTAGGAAAAACATGTTTATGAAAACTAGCGCCAAGACATTTACACTATTAATATAATTTCATGTTCGGTTTTAGCCACTGATGTCCATGTACATACGTAGATAAATCATTTCTTAAGAAAAATTAGTAAAAATTCCCATAATTAAAATAGTAATTCGCTATTTATTTTATGAACACGCAATATGCAATTCTAAGCTTTGTACTGTTAAATACTATAAGTAGGTACTAACGATTCATGAAAATTATAAAATTTAATAATACTCTGTTTTATATGACTATGACAATGACTGCCTCATTGGCCGAGTGGTCGCAAGTGCGACTGCCGGGCAAGGGGTCTCGGGTTCGATTCCCGGGTCGGGCAGAGTATTACTGGGTTTTTCTCAGTGGTAGCACGGAGTCTGGAACTGTGCCCGGAATATGGCAATAGGCTCACCCCCTATTACATGGGACTCATAATATAAATCGTGAAAAGTGGGTGTTACATTACAGTAGCATTAAGTGCCGTAATGTGCACCTCTGCCTACCCTTTCGGGGATAAAAGGCGTGATGTTATGTATGTTATGTATGTAGGTACTAAGATTCATGAACATTGTAAAATTTAATAGTACTCTGTTTTATATTTCAGCCCTCCATTATATTCCGTTATATTAATGATCTAACATTATTGAAACCAAAACTGCAGTTTTAAAAAACAAATTCGTATAGGTATGCTGTTTAAATAAAATTAAACAAGGTCGTTGTTATGCTTTTTTGTGTCTTGGCGCATGCACTACCATGCTCCCAAATCCATAACGATACGGATCCGAAAAGATTCAGATCCGTAACAGAGCAATTTACAGAATGACCTTAGTTCCGGAGTTCCGTCCCGATCGCTTATCGAACGCGTTCTATCTTTGTCTTATTGTTATTTTTTGTTTCACATTTATAAGCTACTGTTTTAATAAGGTGTTATTTCTGTATGTATAAAAAAATAAACTGTTTGTCCTACTAATAGTATTGTAAATGCGAAAGTTTGTGAGGATATGTATTATTCTTCTTACTCTTTCGCGTCAAACGGGTTGAGATGAAATTTGGGACACCGGGGTGGGTTTTAATCAGTAAGAGTCTGACAGTCCCTTTCGTCGTCCCCAAGCGAGGCGGCTCCATGAGGATTTCCTACCTTGAAGTCAAAAAAATAGATTATGATCTGAATATACATTGTCGCTTTTTAACGGGACGCGGGGAAAGCCTCTGGCCAATTGAAGCTAGTATAACATTTAGATACAATTTATAAAACCTACTGTCGTATTGGTGAAACTTCCCTTATTCACTTTCAGTACTCGGGCGCCTGTTGAAAATCATCCCCTAAATTTGTTCATACAAAAGTAGTCTCTAAATTGGAAATAAGGTCTATACTGTAGTCAGTGGAGAGCGGTAACCGGTGACCGCTTGGGGATATTGAAAAACTTCAATTGATCGATCTCTGTCCCAACTAAGTCGACAATTAAAACTCCATACAAGCACAGTGAGCCAGCTGATCTAGATCGAAAATCTACTCCAATCTGTCAAATTTATCCATTGGGTTTTTGACTTTATATCAATATAATAAGGTTTAAGATGTAATAGGAAATGTCAGAAAAGGATTGGTTAGCCTGCTGACCTGTGTACATAATGTTAAAATCCATATGTTTTGGCTTGAGATTGGTTACTATTTCGAGTAATCTATAGATACAATGCAATCTATATACATATATAAAAATGAAACCCGTTTTTTTTTTATATATTTGATGGGGCGACGTTTGACCACTATCTCGCCAGGTGGTAATGATGATGCGGTCTACGATGGAGCACGTCATCCTATAAGCAACCTATTCACTTGGGCCTTGAAGACTCCCAGGTTAACCCTTCAAGAAATACAGACTCTGGCAAAGAATCCGAGAAGACCGTTTCCCGTTGTCACGCCATAACTTGAGAACGGCTAAACTGATTTGGCTGATTTTTTTTTGTTGTGTTTGTTATCGTCAGGAGAAGGTTCTTATGACAGAAAAAACTCCTGAAAATCCTACGGGAATGAGACAAACGGGATTGCGGGTACGAAGTCCCGGGCAGAAACTAGTAAATAGATAAGATAGATACCTACCCATCGCCACTTTGAAACAACAATATACTGAACAGTCTCAATATTGTATCTCTATTTATTTTGAAATGACACCTTTAGAATACAAAACAAAATCTAACATTTGACCTGAGATTGGATAGGCTTTAAACAAATACAATTTAGTACTTAGATTGAGACCTAGAATCTCGAAATGGGCACGTATATCTATTTTCTTATTCCTGAATAAGAAATAGTCCCTGGACTATCTTTAGATTTTGCTGAACGATAGAAATAAAATGAAGATAAATATTTATGTAGAGATATTTTGCAATAAAATGTTATTGAATTTTTTAAAGCCTTTTCCCACACTAGGATTTTCTCCTATCATGGTTGCGTTTACAAATATATAAGTTAACATGCTCATGACACCCAGACCCGAAAAAACAATTTGGGGATCACATAAAGAGTTGCTCCGCGCTGGAATCGAACCCGTTGCATAGTAGCACATTGTCCAGACACCGCACCAACCATGCAGTTTGGCCTGCGTTGTAGGTAGTTGTTGCTGAAACAATGACTACATGTTATCGAGAACTTTAACCTTGATTTTTATGGATTAATCAAAAGCAATACCTTGAGTTCAATCACAGAATAGATAAGCGCCCATATATAACAAAACGTAGGTTTATCAAAAGTGCATAATTAGAATTACACCTTATCCTACCCATGGCACCCATTCTAGGAAAAGCAGTAAAATAAAATGTCGGGTGATTTTTATGTTACTGTACAGTGGACATATTAGCAACGGGTTGATTCAACGACGACTAGATTCAATGCAAAGAATATTTCGAATAACCAACCTAAGACCTAGACCACCACAGATGGGACCCAGTATACCCGATACGTAGCCGCGGAAGACCTAATGGCATGTCGGGGGTCCGGCTTAAAGAGCAGGAGTAGGAACGGGTTGGTTTGTAGTCAATAAGAGTCTGACACTCCCTTTCGGCGGGAGAAGTCATTGGATGATTTTCCCTATTTACAAAATAGACCCAATCTTATAAATAGCATTTAAAACTCAACCGATAAAATAGTTAAACACCAAAATTCAGAAACTAATCACCAACAACAGCTTAACTTTACCGATCCGTTGTCCATACACCTCAGTATATTTACTCTTGCAAGGACATTGTATCCTCTCCCAAGAGGTCACTATGTATACGCGGCTACACATCGAGCTTTACATAACCAGTATAAACTGAACGTTAAATGTGCGGAAAGATGATGCGACGCGACACCAGGATAAACTGGTTTTGTATAGATTGATGTGTGGCCGTGTGTACCAAGTATCCACCGGTTACATTGAATTTAGTGTTTGTTGCAACTAAGTTTGCGTGCTGTAAGAGAATTAGATGAACTGAAGTGACCCTGGTCAAAGTTTCGCAGTGTAACATTGGATACTTGGAGTCAGAGCATAGAACTAGGGTGCTATTAAATAGTAGAATGGAGGGATATGGATATTATTATATGTTATATTAGAAACTAGCACCCCGCCCCGACTTTTCACGGGTGCAAAATCCATGTATTACATAATATGTGATATGTATAAACGGTTGATATAAAATGGTTTATATATAAATAAACCTTCCTTAAGACTCACTATTATCTATTAAAAAAGTCGCGGAGAACCTAACGGGTAACCAGGGCTCCGGCTCGACGTGCAGGAGAAGGAACGGGGTGGTTTTTAGTCAGTAAGAGTCTGACACTCCCTCCCGCCTCACCCAGGCGTGAGCAGTCATTCGATGATTTTCTCCCCTTAAAAAAAAATCTAGAAGAACCGCATCGAAATCCGTTGCGTAGTTTTAAAGTTCTACATAGGGACAGACAGACGGCGGATAGCGACTCTGTTTTATAATATGTAGTGAGTGCTTAACCGACTCCGAAAAGAAAAATGGATGTTCTCAGTTTATCCTTGTATGTATGTTTGTGATTACCTGGCGATTGGCTGAATCGATTTTGTGATTTTCAGAAATATTACTAAACTGAATTAAATCAAATCAATTTATATGTTAACGCAGGTGGGTTGTTTGGCAACAGAAGGGTGTTTAATATACCGACATCAACAAGAACACCAGAGGTGTTACAAGTGCGTTACCGGCTTTTTGGGGATTAGGAGATTGGGGATAAATGGGCCTTCGGTAACCTCACTCACACGACGAAACACAACCCAAGCGTTGTTTCACGTCAGTTTTCTGTGAGGCCGTGGTATCACTCCGGTCGAGCCGGCCCATTCGTGCCGAAGCATGGCTCTCCCACACTTAAGAGTCAAAACGCTTGGTGCCTATACGCACTTTTTATCAGCTATAACAATATGCGAAAGAAAATAAAACTATTACTACACACCAAGTAAAAATCCAATCACTAAGAAAAATCTCAAAGCGCGCACATAGCGTCACTTCAAATCCTCAGATTAAGCTAAGTCCTCATTGGTCAGTTATGGCTGCAGCACTGTTACGATTGGACGGTTCGGTTGTTAGTGCACATACGAATCCTTAGATGACAGGACAGGTTGGACGGATTATTGCCAACCAAATTGGGTACAATAACTGCTTGGCTTTCAAGCGTGGAATTTCGGATTGAGAGATCAAGGGGATTTCGTGGTTTCTTAAATTGAGGACGCGTTTAACGGTTCGGAAAATTTAATTTGAATTTCGTATTTTAAATGTATGGAAGTTTATTGTAATGTGTAAATAGTACTGCGTAGGATTATTAAGGTTTTCGACTTGTAAAATTTCAGCACATAAGTACCCGTAATTTGAAATGGGACCAGGTGTAAAGTTTACTTAAAATAATTAACAAAATAAATACAATTGGAGAAAATGTGGGCGTATAGTGTGAGTAATTTGAAAACAGATTTGGTAATAAATGATATTAGATAGTATAAAATAACCACTGATAGTAATTAAAACGAGGTGATCCGACAGAGAACTAAAGTAATCCAAAGTAAAAACCGATGTAACCCAAAGGATTAGCAAGCTGAAATGGCAATGGGCCGGTCACATTTGCCGAAGAACCGATGACCGTTGTTGGGGTAGACGTGTTCTGGAGTGGAGACCGCGCCTAGGCAAATGTAATGTAGGGCGCCCTCCAGCTAGGTAGAGTGACGATCCACGTAAAGTGGCTGGTAATGGTTGGATGCGTAGAGCTGAAGATCGAGCTCAGTGGCGTGCCATTGGAGAGGCTTATGTCCAGCAGTGGACGAAAACAGGCTGTTGATGTAGTAATAAAAACACCGTTTATTAGCCGTTATGAGGCAACTACTCGATATGACTTAATGAACCAAAATCATTTTAAAAGCCAAGATGCTAAAACGATGCAGACACAGCCTCTTGAAACAACGTCTGCAGCAGCTGGTGACTACAGACTTATACGCAGAACATTTACACATTGACACCAAGGACATTGTCAGTTGTTTAAGTATGATAATGTGGTAAACCCATTACACACGCACACATAAATAACCCACTGACATTTTGGTGCTTCAATCATTGATAAGTTTTTTTTATGGCATAAGCCGGTAAACGGATCGCCTGATGGTAAGCAATCGACGTCGCCCATGGACACCTGGAACACCAGAGGCGTTACAAGAACGTTACCGGCTTTTTGGGGATTAGGAGTTTGAGGATCGTTGGGTATTCAGAGATTGGGGAGATTGGGAAAGGGGAGGGTAATTGGGCCTCCGGTAACCTCACTCACACGACGAAACACAACGCAAGCGTTGCTTCACGTCGGTTTTCTGTGAGGCCGTGGTATCACTCCGGTCGAGCCGGCCCATTCGTGCCGTAGCATGGCTCTCCCACACTTAGTGTGTGACATTATGTTCACCTATTTTTCAACGTCCTGGTTTATTATATTAAAGTTTATCTATCAATCCATAGAGCTTCGCCTTAAGCCCTATGCGTTACAATTGCGTGCAGTTTTACAAAGTGAATAATTGGACACTCCCTGCCACAGAGCGAAGGCAGAGCGAGCCAGTCGCCGGTGCAAACTGTTACAGGATACTAATATTATTAGGTAAGTGACACTTATTGGGAATAGGCAAAATGTATCTTATTGACGTTAGGATAAGTCATAATTAAGGTTGTTTGAAAAAAATTAAGTGAAAGTTTAATATTAAGTAAAAAAAATAGAAAACTGCTCTAAGTAAGAATGTCTAGAATATTTTTCGGTTTAATGCTTGATATACCTTGATTTTCGTTAAAAAAAATATACTAATAATCGGAGAAAGTGTAACCAAAGCCCGAGTGAATGGGTCGCTTATGGAACGGCGTGCTCCATCGTAGACTGCATCATCGCTTACAGGCGAGATAGGGGTCAAACGACGGCCCATCAAATATATAAAAAAACAAGACTTTTACAAAATATAAAAAAATAACTGAAAACTACCAATCTCTTTTCGCTGATTTCGCTTCGCGCATTTCGCTGATTCCATACTTAACCCAAAGGTTGACTGGGAGAAAATGTCATATGGCATTAAATCCGATTTATGTACCTTATTTGTGTGAATTAAAGAGTTAAGCCTTTGACTGCCGACAAAAAACTGCTGAAGACAAATCCTCCGCTAACGTAGGTCACCGGTGACCTACGCGGCAGTTAACGTGTTAATAAGTAAATAAAAATACAATCAATGTCATAAAAAATGATAAAACCGCAAACCAAAAATGTCATTATCCAATTATAATCATAACATATGAATATATGTATAACATATTTTACAAAATACATGAACGACAATACAATACTGTAAATCGGTCACCAGTAACTGATTCGACATTTACACATTCATTTTTCATTATTAACTCACTTTGTTAGCAAATAAACAAGTGATACAATATATTTTTCACAGTCAATGAAAATTATGAAATAATTCACAGAGTTAATTATTCCATGTGGATTTTGTATCGGATGTGATGTGTGTAATATTAATTTGATTTTATTTTAACATTAACATGACTGCACGATTGGTGCGGTATCTGGGCAACGTGTAGTGGGATTGATTCCTGCCCGGAATAACTTCTGTGATCCACAAATTGTTGTTTCGCGTCTGGATGTCATATGTTTGTAAATGCACCCACGACACAGAAGAAAATCCTAGTGTGAGGCAACGTTTTTTTTTTTAAAAAACTAAAACATGCATCAGAGTACATAACTAGCTGTATGCGGTAACTTCACTTGTGACTCCTGTGAGGACGAAGAAAAAAAGTGACATCCAGGTACTATCCACATAAATCCTAATAAATCACTCCGTGGTCACGTGAAAGAAAGACACTTTCGATTTTAACTCATCGAGTATCGGTTTTGTAGAGGTAGACACAATTATAGAACAATAGGTTGCGGTCACCGGTGACCGCTTGGTGTTTGACAGTTTAAAATGTTAGTAAAGATTATTTTTGTACCTATCACATATTTATAAATAGTGATATAGGCTACCCACAGGTGCAGCCGTGGATAGTAACTAAATAAATGTATAATAAATGTACAAAGACTAGACTGCCTCATTGGCCGAGTGGTCGCAAGTGCGACTACCGGGCAAGGGGTCTCGGGTTCGATTCCCGGGTCGGGCAAAGTATTACTGGGTTTTAAAAAACATCTCAGTAGGTAGTAGCACGGAGTCTGGAATTGTGCCCGGCATATGGCAATAGGCTCACCCCTTATTACATGGGACTCGCAACATAAGTAGTGAAAAGTGGGTGTTACATTGTACAGTGGCATAATGTGCACCTCTGCCTACCCCTTCGGGGATAAAAGACTGTGAGCAAACTTTGTTTATACTTCTTGCATAGTATGCTCGCGAACTAGCAGTAAACTTAGTGCATTTAACATGTTTTATTTGAACATTGCTTTGTACTGGAAGCGTTAATGTTGTCTGTGTCCAATGCACGTTTTTGTGCACTGCACTTATTTGACGGACCAAGCCAATTACAAGCTACAATAGGGATGATGACAGGGTATGAAATATAAAAATCTAATTAGTCCGTCAGTTAGGTAATGAAAAATTATTAGACACCTATTTTTTTATTTTGTTGTATAATAAAACAATACTTAGATAAAACGAATCAAAGTTTAGGAGTATAAATCGTACTCAAAAGACGTCATGCGATATTTCAAATCAATATATCTTCGAAACTATTCGTTTTTTATTTACCCTCATGTATGAGGGAGGGTGCGGGTTCCAAACCTATCCACAGCAAGGTACCAATGTGACTTTTTCCGAGTTATATATACTTTCTAAGATTATTTTTACATCACTGACAAACGGTGAAGAAAAACATCGTGAGGAAACCTGGACTTATAATTTATAATTATAAGTTTAAAATTACCAACCCGCATTGAGCAAGCGTGGTGATTAGTTGAACCAACAGTGCCTATCTTCTTGCACGACAATAGGGTTAATTTATAAATTCACTACTAAACAGAGGACTGATTGCCTAATCGAATATAATGAATCGCATTTAATCATAGTTTCGTGAAAAGCAGCATTTGTTTGGTTCAAACCTTTTTAGCTTATTATGTGTATTAGTTACATGACTTTGCACAAAATGATGAAACAAGTGAATTTATCATATAATAGCCTACAAGGCAGCAGTTTTACACGTCAGTTCTTCAAATGAACGATGAGGCCGACATTTCCTAACTGACTACTCTGAGAAGAAATGCCGAAACAAACTCAAAGGTCCGTCTCTTTAAAGTCCAAACAAATATGTATATAAATGTTCATGTCAATGCATGTTCAGCTTTATGTTCATCACCTATTACTTAGCAAACCATAGATGATGATCGTGAATTGCCTTGTAAAACTGGTGTCTACTATACTCTATTGGCATACCAAGTATTATGCAGAGAGTTAAATTTCCCGATTTACCGAGAGATTATGTCACATAGCAGCAAAAAGTCAGTCAAAGTATTAGGATCTTGCAACCACCCACCTCCACTAATCAAATACTGAGTTCAACCCTATGACAGGGACCATCAATTGTCCGTCACATAGGACCTGCCACGAGGCAGTCTCAATATGTAAATAAAGGCGCACCGTCCAAGGCTTCAATTTCTAGGAACGCAACTCGATTACCCACGTGAACCGATCTGCCAATTACTCGAGTTCGTCTAGTGGTAAATAGCTTCACTATAGCTGCTTTGTTCGTTGGTTACTGTCAAACGATATTTTAAAATAAAAGTTGCATTAAAGCCGACAATTGTTCGTTGTGCCTTTTTTTAAGGGGGGAAATAATCCAATGATTTCTCCCGCCTAGGTGAGGTGTGAAGGAGTCTCAGACTTATGTTATACCATTAGGTATGTCGCGGAGAACCTAACGGGTAACCGGGGCTCCGGCTCGACGTGCAGGAGAAGGAACGGGGTGGTTTTTAGTCAGTAAGAGTCTGAAACTCCCTCCTGCCTCACCCAGGCGGGAGCAGATAGATATTTTCATAACATATACATTCGCGGAGAACCTAACGGGTAACCGGGGCTCCGGCTCGACGTGCAGGAGAAGGAACGGGGTGGTTTTTAGTCAGTAAGAGTCTGAAACTCCCTCCTGCCTCACCCAGGCGGGAGCAGTCATGCGATGATTTTACCCCCTTAAAAAAAAAATACCATTAGGTATACAAAGCGGAAGAGTTTGTTTTTTGTTTGTTTGTTTGAACGCGCTAATCTCCGTAATTACAAGTCTGATTTGAATAATTCTTTTTGTGTTGAATAGCGCATTTATCGAGGATTGCTATAAACTATAAAATATCACGTTACGACCACTAGAAGCTGAGCAGAGCGTGTGAAACCGCGTAGAAGTAGCTAGTACTGAATAAAAACCAACCCATTACTACTCCTGCCGTTCAAACCGGAGCCCCGGCAACTCGCTAAGTCCTTCGCGGCTCCTTATCAGCATCAGCTCTATTGGGCCCCATCCGTGGTGAGCTGGCTTACCATCAGTTGATCCGTTGCTCGTTTATCAACTTATCCCATAAAAAATAAACATCATTTCCCATCAAAACAACCGAAAAAAAGCCGTCTAATCAATGCACCTGTGCAACACTCAGCACATATTAATTAGCTACACTGATACCGGAGAGCAGGGTTAATTTAAACGGGCTGCACTGTTTAATGTCGGATAAGAGCTACGATTGCGGGCTCTCGATGTTTATCTAACATATCGATCCTAGTTCCTAGCAAGTCCTCAGTTTCTTTGTGATGAAATACTCTTTTCTATAATACTAAATTTGCTTTGAAGGATAAAATAATAACATTACGTCACGCCTTTAATTCCCGAAGGGGTAGGCAGAGGTGCACATTATGGCACTGAATGCCACTGCACAATGTAGTACCGACTTTTTACTATTTATGTTATGAGTCCCATGTAATAGGGGGTGACCCTATTGCCATAATCCGGGCACATTTTCAGACTCCGTGCTAATACTGAGATCGGTTTTTTAAAATCGAAGCAAAACTTTGCCGATCCGGGACCCGAAACCTAGACCCCTTGCCCAGCAGTCGCACTTGTAACCACTCGGACAATGAAGCAGTAAAAATAATGCATTTTTCAATACCTCTCCCTACTCGTCCCGTCGGTATCGTAAGTGCCGATTAAGGGGCTTCAGATTGGACAGAGACTACGATATTAGAATAGGTTGCTTATAGGCATACGTGCTCCATCGTAGGTCACATCATCGTTTACCACCAGGCGAGAAACTGGCCAAGCGTCAGCCACTAAAATAATAAAACATAATATGGAAAATGTCAAAATAATGTCTAAATCAAAGTCAAAATCATTTATTTCAATTACACCAGGAAGGCACTTTTAAACGTCAAAAAAATATTTAAAAGTGATGGTTGCTCATTCCTTGTTATAGATTCCTATGGAGAAAAACGAGCAAGAAACTCCATAGGTTACTCTTTTTCAATTAAGTCAAATCATTATGAGTAGAGCAGGCCCATACTCCCCATAGTCCACCTACTTGGACGGTGTTGTATTGTGGTTAAGTGGTTGATAAAGTTATTGATGATAATAATGATAAACCACTAAAATTAAGCCATTTCAAAAAAGAAAGAAATAAATATGCAATCATTCACTATTCTTCTATTTCTTCAGAAAATCCTTTATTGTAGCCCATTTTAAAACAATGCATAATTCCTTTCTACAAAATCTCCCTTATTTTGTGCTAAACAAACCCGACATTACAGCGATAACCACACAAACTTTCTTCGTTCGCTTAAAATATCCAAAAACAAATGCCTGCAGCGGTGTTCCGTCTACAAGTTGCTTGCATCCGGAGCGCAGTTAGGTGCAGCGCGCACTAACGACTCGGGAACACAAAATGTATTTTATAATGAGTCCCGTAATGTAACCAGCGTGCTGTTTCCTTGGGGTTGATTTGAAGATTTTAGGGTGTGGTTTCTTTGAACATGTGGTCCAATTAGACTAGCGAAGGTGCTTTTGAATGCTAAAAATACAATAAGAATTTAAGTTCAAATGTGTCTAAAGAGAGTTATAATAATATTGTAAATCATCCTGTGGATTATTAAACTGTGAACATGGAGTTTCTTGCTCGTTCTTCTCCATAGGAATCTACGCCTTGGAATGAGCAACTAGCTTCACTTATAAATTTTTATTGTTTGACGTTCAAAAGTGCCATCCTGGTCTAATTGAAATAAATGATTTTGACTTTGACTTTGACTTTGAACAGATACCATTGCAACGACTGTAAGATAAACCATACATGGATTTAGAAATTGCAGCGTATCGGGTACAGGGTGCGTGATACAGTCCCTTATGCTTTTCAAGTAATATGAAACAATACCTAATTTACGTAAAACAGACGTGTTTCTGTTTTTTATTTCGATAAGGTTTCCTTTTCATCGTTTCTGCACTCAAAAGGTGTACCTCGACTCGCAACAATTTTTTGAAGATACCACAAACAGTTGTTCCATGCTAGATTCAAAGTTGTTCCACGTGTCAAATTGCAGCCTGTCGCACATCCTTCTAAACAATTGTTTAATCCTTTGTATAGCTACATGGTTCTCTTTTTAAATTTTTTTTTTTTATTCTATTATGTTCCATAATGTCCCCAGTGTACATAAGTCCTAGTAACTCTGTTGTTAAAGCACAAAGAGTGAGCTACCTCACCGACTCATCGTTTTAATTGAGTTTCAAGTTTTTGATACTGCTGCCGTACTTGTTCTACGTACACCGTGATTTTGTCAGCTATTGTTCTATTTTGCACCTATACACAATGAATGAGAGTTGGTATTTGTTTGAAATTAATGCTGAATGAGTGAATGAATGAACTTTGTTCCATTCTTTTTTTGAACGTGTCTGCTTTGTGTTTTCTTTTTTCTTTTTGTTAGTGTTAAGCTAATGATGTATTTTTTTATTAGGTACGCTTTTATTACGTCGGCCTGTAAGGAACTATGTAATAAGATATAAGAATCGGAATTTCACATACTTCTAATTGTTGTATCATCATGAAACTTGGTAATTTTATGTATATTAAATGACAATGGAATATTATGGTGCAGTCGAACTTGTTTTACAATGGAATAAGAAGGTGATGGAATCTTGCGCAGCCTGCTAGTAAATAATTATGTCGAGATTTGGTTTATTAATTAGGTCAATATCATCTAATGCTAGTTGCACATAATAAAAAGCGTATTTTTAACATTATAATCGGATGATTTAATTAATACAACCAACCAATTTAAGCTGATTATCAACTTCATAATTAAAAATAAAAGCTCTATTGACTGTTTTCTCCAACCATTAGTAAATCAAATACAACACCACACAAAACATAGCACCTAAACTAACCATTTCACTATTAGGTGTCACTCATAGGTAAGATAAAATTTAAATTTAACTCGTCGAGTACCGGTTTTGTAGACACAATTATAGAACAATAGGTTGCGGTCACCGGTGACCGCTTCGTGTTTGACAGTTTAATAAAAGTTTTAATAGAAAAAATAATTTACTAATATAGGTAAGTAACAAGAAGAAACATCACACACTAGTCTAGTCTACAGAACGAAACTAAATGCATAGAGCTCCTTCAACTACATAATGTATTCATTGCATAACGTTGAACTGTTGACAGAAACAACCACTGAGACACATACACGCTTAAGAAAATGTCATTATGCCTCAACTCACATGGGTACGGTTGCAACTGTATTTATTTATTTAGAAAACCTCACTTGCTTAAACCTTGTGCTGATGGTATTACAGATAGAAATACATTTAGTTTTGTCAAAACCCCTTATCTTCTCGTGTGTGTCGTGAGATCCGATATGTGGCACCACCACCATGTTCAAAAAAAACAATCATTCATACCTTTTTATTTCTGGAGTTTTGTCCATAGTCCTATTAAATTTTTGATATTGTGTTGTTGTTGCATCGTTCTGACATATAATGTATCATTAAGATTGTTAAAACATTTTTACAAGTAACGATGGTGTTTTTGCTCATTCTTCTCCATTCATAACTATACTTTAGAACGAACGGCTAGCTTCACTGTCAGACGGACGGACCATCCAATTATTGACGTTTCGAGCCTAATTAAGGATTAATTGAAATAAATGCTTTGACTTTACTTTCCGACTAAAGGACAAACACATTTGACAAAGCTGAAAAATTGCAATCATACATGAAGGTTAGGTATAGCAAAACCTTATGCTAGACCATGACAGGTTAGAAGCTCATGACAGTTCTTTAGTAGACTACATAGATTTATAAATATAACATAGATGTCTGGCTATTGTCTACGGGTAGAATTTAAGATCCATCTTGACGGTAAATTCATAAACATACTGTTGTTTCTTTTTTACTTATGTCTCTTTGCTTTTGCAGAAAGAGACAACACATTATTGTCATTCTGGCCATAATTTTTTGACGTCATCAGAAAAACCTAGTTGTGCCGAATTGGCCATCTTAGTCCCTGTTATCAGTGCATGTCAGTGGTACATCAGCTGTCAAAGCATTGGTCAACAATATTTTGTTACGAAAATTTGTACAATTCCTGTTGTTTTTGTGCGTGGTAAACAAAGAAATTATTGGTTAGTGAGAAGAACTAGGCCCGGGTGCAGTGTTATTGGATGTAGCACTAAAAATATTACTAAACCGGCAGGTGTAACATTACATCGGTAAGTACTGTTATTTTTCATTGAAATATCTCTGTTTTTCAAACTATTCAAGTGTGGTTGCTGCAAATTGACTAAATACAATACTTTTCTAACTAATGCAGTGCTTATTTTCATTAATTTTAGTTGAAATTCGTCTAAAACATTTTTCATTATCAAATAGTGATGTACATGATTGTTCCCGTATCGATAATTTTATCGTACATAATAAATGCGTCAAAAGTAGAACAAAGAACTATACTAAATTCTGAATGATAAAGTGCATTAATTTGACAT